TGAGAAACACCCCCTCCTCTTCTCGAGAACTACATTGTGCTCCTGCCCATGAGGTTGGATTCTGAGCCATCATCTAGTCTTACTCATCACAGATGTGTTTACCTTGCTTATTTCTCATTTCTTCTTTCCTTTCAAGGCTTCAGCCTTTAGCTCTCCCCACTTCCTGCTTATGACTCACTTGTGCTTAGTGATGCTTTTCTTTCCTAACGGGGCCATTCATCCTTAAGTGAGTCAGCATAAGAGAGATCAGGTTTACCAAGCCTTGACACAGCTCTGATGAGCCTCTTACACTTTATAGTTCCATGTTCCTGATGGAAATGCATCTACTGATCAGCTACGTCAGAGGCGAGTGCGTTCCAACGGAAGCCACCATCACCACATCTCTTATCTCACAGGAGCCTCACAAGGTTGCCAGTTTATGAGTGTTTTCCAGGTGGCCTGGCTCACTAGAAAAAAAGGACAGTAACTCCAAAGAGCATCAGTGGATTCAAGATGTCTCTAAACCCAGAACCTGGGATGCTGAGGCAAGCCTTATCGCTGAGAATTTGAGGCTAGCCTGGGCTACACAGCATGCACTATCACTGTGTCAGAAGTGTCTCTGATGAAGAATTGGTACACATCTACACATCTCTGTCACACTTCTTTGATTCTCACATATTTGCACCATATTCTGTGTTCATCAAATTTCAATCCTTACAGAACCCTTTGATGACCTCACAGTAAAATGCTTTAAATACGTGACCCAGTGGTTCAGATTTAGAGTTGGGTTTTGTTTGCTTGCTGTTTTAGAGCAGCCCCCTTTTTTTCTGACCCCCGTAGACATTCCTCCACAGGCATGGTGACTTATCATCATCAGCCATGTCCTCAATTTATTCATAATAAAACCTATGCAGGACCCTGTGAATGGAGGCATGTACTCTGCCACCAGCCACATCCACAGCTATTTTCATATACCATTTATATTCTTCAAAACTTAATTGTCCTGCCCAGGGTTACTATTGCTGTGATAAAACACCATAAGGATATATTTGGGTCACTTCCATGTCACTGTTTATCATTCAAGGAAGTCAGGACAGAACTCAAACAAAGCAGGAACCTGGAGGCAGGAGCTAATACAGAGGCCATGGAAGGGTGCTACTTACTGGCTTGCTTCTCATGGCTTGTTTAACCTGCTCCCTTATGGAACCTAGGACCACCAGCCCAGGGATGGCACCACACAATGGGCTGGGTTCTCCACTATCAACCACTAATAAAGAAAATGCCCTGCATGCTTGCCTACAGCCAGATCTTTTGAAGGCTGTGATAGTTTGAATGTAATTATTAGCCTCTATAAGTTCATAGAGAGAGGAGCCATTAGGAGGTGTGGCTTTGTTGGAGTAGGTGTGGCCTTGGAGGAAGTGTGTCACTTTTTTGAGGTCTCTTTTACTCAAGCTTCCCTTGTGTGACACAGAGACCACTTCCTATTGCCTGAATGCCAAGATATAGGACACTTGGTTCCTTCTCCAGCATGTCTGCCTGCACACTGCCATGTTCCTCTGAACTGTAATTTCTCCTCAATTAGATATTTCCCTTTATGTGTCACTACAGCCAGGCATGACAGCACTAGAGAGGCAGAGGCAGGGAAATCTCAGTGAGTTCAGCTTGGTTTACAAAGTGAATTAATTCCAGGACAGCCAGAGCTATTACACAGAGAAACCAAAAAATAAAAAATAAATTAAAAAAATGGTCATGGTGTCTCACACCAAAAGAAACCCTAACTAAGACAGAGTCATTTTCTTAATTGAGGTTCCCTCCTCTCAGATGACTCTAGCTTGTGTCAAATTGACATAAAACTAGCCAGCAAAATGATAATAGCTGTGTGGTGGCAAATGTCTTTAATCCCAGCACTCAGGAGGCAAAGGCAGGTAGATCTCTATGAGTTCAAGGGTATCCTGGACTACTACATGAGTTCTAGGCCTCCCAGTGCCAGACTCAGAAAACCAAAATCGGCAGCAAGAACAGCAACTGGTCCTGATGGCACATTTCCGAAATCCCAACATTTGAGAGGCTGGGGCAGAAAAATCAAGAATTCAGAGAAAGATAAAGCTACATAGTTCTAGGACAGCTCAGGTATGGATTTAATAACTAGTTGTACTTTGAACTTAACTAGAATGCTCAATGGATGACTGCAGTTCACAGAGTTGACCATAAATGAGGTCTGTTACCAACAATGGCATCCTTTATGCAGTGTCTTTTAAACAGCTGTTTCTAGGCCCATTACTTTCCTTCCTGTTCTTTCCAAGCCAGCACCCAGGAAGACATGAGCAAGGGCGGCAACAATTAGATGTGATGAACACAGGGTGTTCATAGAATACTGCTTAGTGACCAAGGGAGGTTTACAGCGCATACTGGTGGGGGAGGTGAGATGGCTTAGTAGGTAAGGCGCTTGCATAAACATGAGGACCAGAGTTTGAATCTCCTATACCTCTATAAGGAAACAGAAAGCCAGACAGTGGTGTGCCAGCATTGGGAAGGCAGAGAGAGACAGGTAAATCCTGGGGGGTACCACCAGTCTAGGTCCAATGAGGGACCTTGTCTCAAAAACTTGGGTGATAAATGATAGAGAGGACATAAACATTGACTTCTGTCTTCTGGACACACCACTCACAGGCCAGTGCACCGGCAGGCACACACACACACACACAGGGTGGGGGGTTGGGTTGGGTAGGTAGGCTTGTTAACTAGTGTTTCTCTGTGTTGCCCTGGCTGTCCTGGAATGCACTCATACAGAGATCCATCCACCTCTGCCTTCTGAGTGCTGAGATTAAAGGGGTGTGCAGCCACCACCAGACTTTACTTAATTATTTCATGTGTGTGTTTTGCCTGTATCCAAGTATATGTATTACGTATGTACCTGCTGTCTTCAAAGGCCAAAAGAGGGCATTTGATCCCCTGAAACTGGAGTTACAGTTGGTTGTGAGTCGCCGTGTGGGTTCTGGGAACCGAACCTGGATCCTCTGTGAAAGCAGTGCTCTTGCCCAGTGAGCCCTCTCTTCAATCCCATCGCCTATTTCTAAGGTTCTCCTTCTAATCGGTTTTGTGTGCTTTCATTGGTACCTTGTCTCTGACTCTGGTCATTCTCTGTGAAAAGGTAAAAAGCTTACTAAATCATCGAAAAGGACCAAGTACTATCCTTAGCATCATCTCTCAGGAGTGTCACCCATTGGACATGAGACATGATGTTATCTATAAAGTTTACAATTGAGAACTTTACAATTGAGTTACAGAAAAAAAAAAAAAAATCACACCCTCAAAAATCTCATAATGGTTTGAGTAAGCTTACAATTTTGTGTTGAGCTACATTCATGACTATTCTGGGATGCATACAGCTCATGGACTGCAGGTTGGCTGTGGCCAGCAGTGTCAAGCATTATCTTCATTTATGAAGAGCTATGTGTAGAGGGATTTTTCTTTGGTCCACCAGCTCACAAAAAACTACACAGAGATTTATTATTAATTATGAAAGTTCAGCCTATAGCTTAGGCTTGTCCCACTAGTTCTTAGAACTTAATTAACCCATTTAATCTACATCTTGCCTCGTGGCTTTTTACCTCTCTTCCGTCTTGCACCTCCTATTTCCTCTTCACATCCTGTGGTGTCTCTCTAGTTCCTAGATTTATTTATCTCCTCTTCCTCTCTCTCTGCCTGAAAGTCCTGCCTATCCTCTCCTGCCTAGCTATTAGCCATTCAGCTCTTTATTAAACCAATCAGAAGGCGCCTTGGCAAAGAACATCTTCACAGTGTACAAAAAGATTATTCCACAACTGCCATGCACTTCTAGTGTGAGTGATGAGAATTCTGTTTCTCTCTTGCATGTGTTATCTTGTCACTGTGCATCATAGGTTGGTTAGCAGACTGGCTTCAGTGCCGTATGTTGTAACATATTGCCAGTCACTGTGACCACCAAAAATGCCTTCACACATTTCCAACACCGGTGAAAATAGTGCCGTAGCCTCTGGCTTAGGGTCATTGCTAGCCAGACAATTCAAAATCACCAAATGCTGGACTCAGGTGTTCATATAATTCCATGGGACAACTTAATCATCAGTCTTTTGTATAACTAACCCAGTCATTAAAACCACTTTAAAAAAAATCTGCTGTACTGAGGTTATTCCAGCCACTTCTTATCAAATCTAAACTATTATAAAATCTGTTTAATTCTAAGAAAACTGTTTTTTTTCTTGTTGTTGAGGTTCAAAAAAGGATTGTTAAAATGCATCAATTCTTTTAAAATATAAAATATCACAAAATATAATATTTATTTTGTACACATGGAACATTTTCTTCATTATATTTATATGTTTTCATAAAGTTGTTGACTTATGAGATGAGTGTGTACATGTGAGTTTAACTTCCTCAGTGTATACTAATATTTTGTGTAGCAGATTGTAAGATCTCATTAAAAGTGATTGTAAGGTGTGCTGAGGTTGAAGTCTACAGGTCCTGAAGAAGGAAGATTTGAATACATGGCCATAGCTAAACTTTTGAAATTCACTGTCAGGACTGTGATGGTTCAGGTGGAGAATGTAGAACGTTCATACAGGATCCTGAATAGACTCCTCAGCACTGATGGGCATACTGAAGTCATAAAGTGATGATACCACTATAGGAAGCCTTGTCGCCACCACCAGCAGGAGAGCTTGAGACATGCCAGAGGATTTACAACAGGGAAATGACTCAAAAGATTAACTTCTTGATGCTAACAGACTCGGCAGATCCATGGCCGGGCTGCTAAGGCCTGTGGATAGAAAGCCCATATTAATTCTCTGTCCAACTCTTTTCTTTATCCAGTGACAATTTCTGTTACTCAAGCACATTTGAACAAGAAAATAAAAGTGATTGTAAATATAGTACAAAGTATACAGGCACTCTTACTAATGACTTTTGCACAGTGATATTTTAGAGTTTGCTAATATTACATAAAAACTAAGTTATGCTTTTGTTTGTTCTTTATATTTCAGAGAAAGAGTTTTGAAGAAAAGTGGGTACAGGCTTGACAAACCCAAATGGAAGAGAAACAGAAAAGGAAAGAAAAGGAACTTCAGTTTTAGTGAGAACTCACTTGCAACCTTAGGTCACCTAGCACCAGGCATTCAGGGTTCATCTCAAAGCAAAGGGGAAGATTTTGAAGAGATCAGGACAGAACCGGCTCATCCCTTTACTGGCGGCCTACAGAAGGAAGCAGGAGATTGTGTAAATCGCTGTGAAGAGCAAAGTTGCCAAGGCATAGAGATCTCAGACAGTTTCCAAAATGTTGTGTCTACAGTTGCATTGGATCACACACCTAAAAACTGCTTTCCCAAGGAGGAGGAGGACCTGTTTCTAGCCTTATCATTGGTACCAAGTGAAAGTTCTGCCTCTTGTCACACAAGCGCTGAACATCTTTCTTGTGTAGTAGTGAGGGATGGCTGCTCAGGCATGAGGGTGGAAAGACACATGAGGAATAGACCTCAGTCAGCTTTAGATACGCAGGACATATTTGCTGAGACCCCATGTTCATTTTCGCAGAAGATGGAGGTGACAGATAAAAGTTGCCCGGATGAGTTTGCTGTGCATTGTCAGAGTGGAACCAGAATGTCAGAGGAGATTGTACGAGAAGAAAAAGGAGTTCAAAGCGATTGCTGGGCTTTTCTTACAGCCAGTTTGTCTGATGAAGAATTATGGATAAGGTCTGAGAGCCAGCCTTATTTTGGCAGTTGGCCCAAGGGACCTCGCAAGTTTGTGTATGAACAGAGACCCAAGAAAGATAGATCTCGGAGACTGACCTGTCCTGATAGTGAGGAACAATTGACTAAGTTAATTTCCACTTCTGAAGGAGCAGCAGGCTCAGGAAGTGGCCCAGAAATACCAACGGAGAAGCAACTGAGCGATTTGTCACCTAGAGCTGAAATGGTAGATTTATCCAGAAACCCAGAGGCAAATATATCCAGTACTTGTATCCCCCATCTGCACTCCCCAGAGCATCCCTTAGAGTCAGCAAAGGGTACCCAAGGGATGCAGGAGAGGATTTGCAATTTGCCCCCAAAGTTTAAGTTACTGGGACAGACTCCTATCAACCCTGAAGCAAAGGAGAAATGTGACCCCTTAACAGAAAATCATGAGATGAACACTTTTTTGGTGGAGGAAGATATTTCCACAATAATCAATAAAGATGAGACAAAGCAAAAAATGATGATCTTTGACAGTCATCTGCCATTGTTTTACCTTGATACCTTCCATGATTCTCCTCGAGGTACTATCCAGCAATCTTGTTCTTATCGCCTATCATTTAACAGAGTCGGGTGTGCTGTGTATTTTTATAAAAACCCTGTTCCTTCTCTCATGCTACATTATCTATCTAGTTTTTGCATGCTCTCTTTTAACAACAAAAGAGCACTTTTGACATTCAAATCTCAGAAAAGCATGGATAGGACACTAAGCGATGGAGGGTTTATGCCCTCAGACATACTAAGTGGCCAGCCTGCTGCTCTTTGCTCTTTGAGGATTTCCTCTGATACTCAGTTTCCAAGTGAGAGACTGGATGAAGAGCTGAAGACACGGGAACACAGGGAGCCAGTGCAGTGTTTACCAGCTGAGGACAGCCAGGATTTAATAAGCAGGAATCGTCAGTGTCATGGGCCGTTATTGAAAGAGCTTGCCCTCCACCTGGTCAAACATTTTGCATCTCCTAGAGTTCCAAAAGGTAAATTGTTTTTATTTATGAAAAATAACCATCCAAGCTGGCATGATGGTGCACATTTGTAATCCTAGTACTCAGGAGGCAGAAGTAGGCAGGTTTCTGAGTTCAAGGCCAGCCTGACCTACGAAGAGAGTTCCAAGGAAGTTGGGGCTGTTATACAGAGAAACCCTGTTCCCCCCCCAAACATAAACTAACAAAGAACCAAAAGTTCAGTTTAACATATACAAATGCTTTCTGTCATGGGTTCTGTCCTGTGTTAGTGACATCATGTAGTGCTGATCTCGGGTGTCACTGCCACAGGACAAGTGAGGACCCATAGTGAACATTGCTTGACTTATCAAGCCGCCATTCCCCGCATCCGGTCTTTGTAAGTGGCCGAGTTTCGCTGCTGGAGAGATGGCACTGCAGTTAAAAGCACTTGCTGCTCTTGCTGTGGACCCAGGTTTGGTTCCCAGCTCCCATATGATGACTCACAACCATCTACTACTCCAGTTCCAAGGGATCTGATGCCCTCTTCCAGCCTCCATGGGTACTATGCATAGATGTAACATACATACACATGTTTTTGCTATTGTGTATTTAGTTTCTATGTATGGGTGTTTTGTCTGCACGTATGTCTGTATACCACGTGCATGGCTGGTGCCCACATGGCCAGAAGAGGACATCAGATTTCTGGGACGGGTGTTACAGACCGTTGTGAGCTGCCATGTGGGTGTTATGAACTGAACCTGTGTCCTCTGCAAGAGCAGTCAGTGCTCCTAACCACCAAGCCATCTCTCTAGCCCCCTCACACACATTTTTTAAAACTCTGTGTATCTTTCTACTTAGTACATTTCCCTTCTTTGGTGTGTGACCTTCAAAATTTTCAAAGAAACAACCTCATTCTATCAATCATCCTAAGAGAAACTTGCATTTAATTCTCTAAGGATAATGAAGACTATGCACTCTGAAATGGCCATTTAGGAGAGTCATTCATTCATTGCATATATCCTGTATCCAGCCCTAAGTTACGTTAGATTCAGATTTACTTGGCTTGAAACAGCATCTCATCATTGTTGTGATCTTTTGGTCCACAGTGGGCAACATCACTGACCTTGAGGGCTGCTCACTTAATGCAGGTAGCTAATGGAGGACTGGCTTGGACTGTTACACAGTAGATTCTAAGAATAGTGCATAGTTGTTTTGAATTTTTGTTTGTTTGTTTTTGTTTCTTGGACTCACAGAGATCCACCTGCCTCTGCTAGGACTAAAGGTATATGCCACCACCTCCAGCCTTGTTTGTTTGTTTTGTTTTAGTTAGTTTGTATATTTTATTAATAGTGATGTAAGTGAAACTAGAGGCGACTCATGGCACATTTTGGAATTAGCAGTAAAATTTAAGTTTAAAGATAATAAAATGTAGAGCTGTTGCTTAAGGGTAGCAGGTATTTCTGACAAGCACATTTGTGTCTAAAACCAAATGTACATTTTTTTTTTTTTTTTTTTTTTTTGGTTTTTGAGACCGGTTTCTTTGTGTAGCTTTGAAGCCTTTCCTAGAACTCCCTCTGAAGGCCAGACTGACCTCGAACTCACAGAGATCCACCTGCCTCTGCCTTCCAAGTGCTAGGATTAAAGATGAGCACCACTAGCCTGACCCAAATGTACATTTTTATAAGTTGTTTTTTTCTGTTGTGGAGATGAGTTCTTGCTACGTACACCTGTGAAGCCTCAGATTTGTAACAACATTCCTGCACCAGTATCTCACATGCTGGGATTATGTTCTTGGACCACCTTACTTTTCTCCTTAGTCTTTGGGGAGGCCGCATTGTCATTCATGCACACACAGAGAGCAGCGCTTGACATGTCAGACTGACACTGCACTTGTTATGTTTCTTTTGACATTTGAGGAATGCCTGCACAGAAGAATTAATTTTATGTATCTTAATTATCATTTCTAGAAAAGGAAGAAGAATCTTGGCAAAAATGAAAATCCCTTGAGTCGTAAGTACTTCTCGCCACCGCAGAGAACCCAATATGGTCAGAAGGAAATGAGTGTTGACATCGCCTGGTTGTAATAGCACAGATGTATTGCAGTTGAAGAGTTGTTACCATGGCAACCCTGCCTGTGCTATTGCGTGTTCAATGCTTCTCTTCAATCGTACATCTTTCTGTGAACCACAACAAAGCTTGGATTGTTGCTCCCAAGATTTAGTCCATATTTCATTAGTTAGAATGCATTTCAGAGCATTCTGGTGACACAGTGTGTGAGAGGTTGCCTCCCCCCCCCCCACGCCACTGGTATGTGACCAGAGCTAGGAATTAGGGCTGTGGAATTATGTGTAATTAGGGCTAGGAATTATGTGTAAATACTGTATGTGAACAGATGCTCTAAGAAAAGAGGTAGCATGGATAGACACTTCTCATATGTCACCCTTGACATTGAGAGTGACAGTAAAACAAACATACCATACTTTCCCCAGAATCTGATGTTATGAAGTGAATACATCTGCTGGGATTGCCAGTGTGTACATGTCTGTGGTTGGTAAGAATGGGAAGCACATGTGTTGCACATGTTTTCTCTCTTCATCTAACTCATTTCTAAGAGTAATCTGTGCTTGACTCTGAGAAATATGTGTATACTCAGTAGAAATGTTTTACTTTTCACCTGCTTCTGCTGGAAGACAACAGCAGATGCTTAGTAGGACTATAGAGATTTGGAGAAACCTGTAGAATAAGATGAGTGTGCCTAGAGTCGGTGAGGACTCTGGAGAAAGGGACGGAACTTCCGTTTTGTTCCCCAATGTGTCGTGTTGCCTCATATTAGACATTGCTTTGGATACTGCGGGGAAGTGCTGAGACTTCCAGCCCTCCTGTGGTTTACATGACAGAGATGTAGTTAGGGAAGGTCTTCCTTCACCTCAGTGTGGTGGCCTAATGTGACACAGGAGGCACCTGTCCAAGTAATGTGCTGTGGCGAATCTGAGTCTCTTCTCCATGCTGAGTGTGAATATTTTGTGTTCAGGCCATGCTCTGTATGTACTTTAAGTTTTGAAGTTGCTCCTCCTTTGCTCTGCTCTCCATGGCTCTGGCCTTCAGCCTCATTCTAATTAATTTTTTTCAAGACCGGGTTCCTCTGTGTAGATCAGGCTGGCCTCGAACTCAGAGATTTACCTGCCTCTGCTTCCTGAGTGCTGGGATTAAAGACATGTGCCACCACCGCCGGGTTTATTTTAATGCTTAATCTCATCTCATTTGAACATTTCTGAGGGCTATAGCAACAATGTGTTAACTACAGTTACTTTGAGAAAGAGCCTTCTGCTTTGGTTTGTCATAATGTCCTGACAAATAGGTTTTAAAGGGCAAATAGAAATGTAGGAAGAGGCAGTTATAAGGAGATCCTTCTGGACTGTAGAAGTCCCAAGGCTATGTCTGCCTAGGTCAGAATACACTGCACTTGTAGACGCAGTCCTTTGTAGAGGCTGAGCTGGGCCAAGGATGTTTTCCTGCCTGCCTGTCCTGGAGCTGCTGTATGCTGTGTGACCTGGAAAAGTTAATCTCCTCACAGTCTCAATTTTTTTAAGTGTAAAGATAAGATAAGTTGACAATATCACTTTCTAGTGGAGATTTTAAATGGGGATTAAATGAAATAATGTGTGCAAAGTACTTAGAATTGTGCCTGAGATGTAATGGGCTCTTAATACCGGTTCATTTCCATTCTCTTGGCACCTCCTTGGGCAAAGCCCTCTGGCAAAATAGAGCTCCTGTGATCTTGGGAGAGGAAAATATTGAGCCAGAAACTTGCTTACAAATTTGCATAAATTCTCGTAATGATCATTAATAACTTTTGTACTGTAAAGAGCTGTATGTACCTCAGGGAATGAGAACAGGAGGTAGGTGAAATGGGCAGAACCAGGCAGAGGGACTGAGGGGACAGCACATATCCTAGATGCTAGAAGACTGGCATGACCAGGGTAGCAAAGAGGACCTGGGAGCAGACTCCTTCCTGCGGCATCCTGTCTGCCCTGTCTGTCTGGGGGTGTGCTTGTTTGCAGCGGTAATTTCTGCTTCCTGTCTGCTACTGGCAATCCTGATCACCAAGAAAAGCCAGGGTGCCCATCACTGACTCTCAGAGAGCCTCCCCGCTTGAGCCCATGGGACATCAGCACGGGTGTGTATAATCACTCCAGTTGTTGCTCTTGATAAGTTATGTCAATAATATAAAAAGCTCAGCAAGCAATAATAGTTTGAATGCTGCACTGCCTGATGCTAAGAGTTTTGTCACAGCTTCATTTTGCAGAAGAAAACGAGGTACAGAAAGCTCTTTAATTACTCCAACATTGGGATGGTAGCCTATATGCAAGTATTGGGCTGTGGCCACAACTCTAGAATTCTGAAATCCCAAAAGGCTCTAATATCCAAATGTCCTTTTGTTTATCCAACCTTTAAAAGTGGTAAAATATACAATAAAATAATTAACTTAGCCCTTTTCTTAAAAATATGTATTTTAATTGTGTGTGCATGAAGTGTATGTAATTGCATAAAGGAGTTTGTGGGAGCCTGAGAGGCAAATACACATTTGATGAGTTCTCAGACTATCTGATCTCCAGACATTTGCTTGGACCTATAATATAACTAGAGGTTTTGATTTAGTTGTACTTAAAACAGAAAAAAAAAAAATCATTTTTTGAAGAAGCGTATCTACTTCCGCGCTGTTCAACATGTAGACATTTGCTAAACCCCACTTTCAGAATAGGCCCTTCCTTTGCAGCCCACCTGTCTGACATTCTCCAAGGAACAGGAACAGCCCTCTAGATGCTGTGTGTGTGTGTGTGTGTGTGTGTGTGTGTGTGTGTGTGTGTTTCTATTGGGGTGGGGGTGGGGGTTGAGGGGCTCAGGGCCTTCTGTGCCTAGCTGCACCTCCATCCCTTAGAGCCTGGGGAAGGGGAGGGAGGGAGAGGAGGACTCAGGGCCTTCAGAGCCTGGGGGAGGGGGGAGGGACAGGAGGACTCAGGCCCTCAGGGCCTAGCCACACCACCAGCCCTCAGCTCTGTTTTGTTACTGGACTCTGAACTCACCTCTTCTAAGCCCCACCCACAACCCCACACCTTCCAGTGCCTGGATATACGGGTTTTGTTGGATGAATTGTGCATTTTGACTCTTTCTAATTTAGGGCACTTTTGATCAAATCAGTCAGTGTTTGGCCTTTTGCTGTCTAGAATCCTGTTGCTATGACCCCTCCCTAGCTTCTGTTTAAAGTGACAATTGAACAACCAGGGCCCCCAGGGAAACCCCAAAGCAGCTTCCTTTGCTCTTCAATGAGGTTTCAAGGAAGAGCAGTAAGGGCGGAAAGTTGCCTCCATCCTGCCTTCTGTCATGGATATTGATCACTTTCTTCAAAGAAGCTTCTCCGTGCCTCCTCTGTGTTTGCCTTGTGCAGGTTTGAGTTTTTGTTGCTAGACAGAAGGTCTAGACAAGAGCCAGAGTTTGAGGAGTCTTTTTGTCCTCTGAAATCCCAAAAGGCCAAGAAAACCAAAAGTCCTCCACAGAGCCCATATCTGGCCAGGACCCAGGATTCTGGCAGCACAGATCCATCCCATGCTAAGGGGGCTGACGTATTCTTCTGTCTGTCCTTGTTCCCTTCCTGCAGCCTTGTTTGGAGACAGGGTTTCATTAAGTTCCCCAGGCAGTCATTGAACTTTCAGTGCTCTGTCTCAGCCTCCCAACTAGCTAGGACTAAATATGCTTAATTTAATTTAAACTAGCCCTGTGGTCCCCTAGCCTCCCCCTGCCTCCTACAGCTTCTGTAAGTCATCTAGAAGAGGGATGAGGGAAGAGCCAGGAGGGAGGCAGGGTAGCCAGCCAGCCAGGGAGGAGACAGGCATCTGGAAAATTCTTTCTTTGGTGCCTTAAACAGCACAGCATTTGCGGCTTTCTGGTGAACACGTTAGACTCCACTCCACTGTAGTTGTGCCTAAGGATAGTATTGGGAATACTTAACAGTGGGCATGGTGTGGGCAGCCACCATTTGGACCATCTTTATTGTTTAATAATGCTTACTGGCTCCATGGCCACAAGCCTTATGCTGACTTTCAGAATGCTACAGCTTTCTACACCTTTCCTCGCATTTATCACCTAATTTCCAGAAAGAACCTTTAGGGAAAGGGGTTAGGACTACTCCCCTCCGTGGGCATCCTCATAAAACTCATGCAGTCACACCAAGTCCTTGTGCCCGTGGCAGACAGACATCAGGTACTGACTGAAATGGAAGAAGCAGTCTTTAACCTCTGGGGAGGTATCTGACAGTGAGTGAACTATGGTGCTAGGGATGTGCTTAGTACACTGAGCATGCCATACTGCTGAGTTTGGTCCCTGGAACCTCATAAGCTCATAAAAGCATGAGTGGGAGTGAGCATGCTGGAGTGGGCGGGGCATGCTGGAGTGGGTGGGGTATTCTAGAGTGGGGTGGGGCATGCTGGAGTTGGGTGGGGCACACTGGAGGGGAGTGGGCCAGGTAGGAGGTCCACATCAGGCTTATGCAGAAGATCTGTCTGCCCAGCTTCTCTTTTGCACTGTACTTCTTGTTTCTCTGACTCTTTTTTGCTTGGTTGTTTGTTTTATGTTTCAAAACAGGGTTTCTCTGTGTAGTTCTATCTGTCCTGGAACTCTCTCTGTAGACCAGGCTGGCCTGGAACTCACAGAGATCCACCTGCTTCTGCCTCCTGAGTGCTGGGATCAAAGGCCTGTGCCACCATGCCTTGTTTGTATTTTTAAATCTTCAACTCGAGTGTGTGTGTGTGTGTGTGTGTGTGTGTGTGTGTGTGTGTGTGTGTGTCTGAGTCTGAGCATGCATATGCCACACATGTTTGGGTGCCCATGGAGACTAGAGGGGCCTTAGGTCCTGTTGCTAAAATTCCTTCCCTAGGGGAGACATAAGCAACATCCTCCTCTTACTGCCCTAACAGCAAACTGAGACAGGACTCCACCAAAGTTCACTCTGGACATCCAGTGAATTTATCAGATTTTCTTACAGAGCCATAGATGAGTGGTCACCTGTGGGTGTGAAAGCTCCTTCCCTAAAAGGCCACACCAGAAAGTCTTCACCCAGCAGGGATGAGGGCTCTCCCACAGCCACATAGATAGAACTCTCTCTACTAGTCTTCTGGGCCAATATCCTCCAGCCCTTTCCCAAGGTTGCATCTTGTTAGGACATAGTCGCATTCAACAGGTGGTAGGGGGATGAATACACCCATGGGGTCTCCTGACA